GGAGGGCACGGAGATGGCGTCATTCTGTCCTAGCGCTGTAGGGTGGCTTAGATGGAAGCTTTGTAAAGAAAGTCTGCTCTGTCTTTGCCACCTGGCACTGTAGCAGTTAAAACGAGGGATTGGAAAGCAGGACACCTGGGTTCTGTTTCCCAACTTTAGGGAGTGCTGCCAAGTGGTTACAGCCAGGGGTGGGGAGCTAGGACTGCTGCGTTCTACTCCTGGACCAGTATTTGGCAAGCTGTGTGACTTTAGGGAAGCAGAGGGTGGAAAAGCCCAAATCACCAGACTGGGGTGTGACGAATGGGGACTGTTCTTACTGTGGTCTTTGAATGCTGAGTGGGGAGTGTAGCTAGGATAGTCTGTATTGGGGGATGAGAGACTGACCGATGGAGAATACCTGGGCATGTATCATGAGAACCCAGGAAGAGGTCAGAGGCCAGGTGACACCTTTGCCGGGAAACTAACAAAGGCTGGGGAGAGAGTTCAGAGCTGGCTGGTGACATGGCTGGGAGGCAGACGGGGCTCTGACCTCCCAAGGGGGCTAGAGTGCCCTGGGACCCCAAGATGGACCTAACTGAGGGGGTCCTGTTGTCCGTGTCTGCAAGACCTGTCTTGGACTGTGTTCCTGTCGTCTAAATAAACCTTCTGCTTTACTGGCTAGCTGAGAGTCATGGTGAATCGCAGGAAGCCGGGGGTGCAGGGCCTTGTGTCCCCCCACACTCGGTGCCCACTGGGGTATTCGCCCCTCCTTGGAACAGCTGTTTTATAGCACCACCTCCTGAGCCCTCTGCTCATTGCAGGGCAAAGTAGCTGTACTCCCCTTCCCCGTGAACCTTTTTTGCCTGTTTAAAAGAAACATCCTCAAGCCATTTGGGACACAATCTGTATGGTAATGCTCCAACTGAAATCAGACTCCCAGATGCCTGCAGGAACAGTGCTCTGGGAAATCTAGTTTACACAGAGAAGCTTGGTGAGTAAAAACAGGGATTAGGTAACCTGTACAGCTGGAAGGCCAGAACGGCTGCTACAGTCAACCGTGGACAAGAAACGCAGCTTTGCTCATCACACAGGATCTGTTCTGCAAGGGAAGGACAAATCGTCTTGCCTCAGCCGTGCTGTTGCCAGGAAAGCTTTCAGCAAGATAAGCCTGTAACAAGAAGTCACAAACATGCAGTTTGCGGAATCAGAGATTTTGCCCTGAGAACAACATGGAAAGGAGACAACGAACAAGGCACTTGGCTGAGTCAGAACTACACTGGCTTCTCAGGCCTGGCACTGACTGGCCTGCGTGACCTTGGGCCCACTCTCTAGGGCCCAGTTTCCACATCTCTAAAGCAGCGATAACGATACTTTCAGGCCGTTGCAAAACGTTTAGAGATTGATGGATAAGAGCGAAACGAGTCCTATCCTGTAGCAATCTCCCTCAGGCCTCAACCTTGCACTGTGCCACAGAAGCCACACAGGAAGTTCAGGGGGTTGGGGAGGGGGTTGTCACATCCCTCTCCCCAGCACTTTTAGTCACGATCTTCACAAGCCATCAGCGTAAAACCCCGCCCTGGTTCGACTGTCGAAAAGGGAGGGATTTTTCATGTCAAAATGGTGTGAAATTGGCCCAACCTGCAGCCGTACCAGAGGACAAAGCTTGTAGGTTGGCAAAGTGCAAGTCCCTAGCCTGCTGGGGGTTGGTTCAGGAGCCTAGGAGAGCGGGGGGAGATGCTCAGCGCTTTGCAAATGCAAACATGGTGCCAACCCCCCCATGCCTCAGTGCAAGAAGCCACCGCTTGGGAGCGGAGCCTGGCCCCTGCAGCCCTTTCCCTCCGGGTTCAGGTTAGCTCCCCAGCCGGAAGCGGGGCCGCCTCAAACCCAAGGCCACGAGCCCCAGCCTCTGGGGCAAACG